GGGAATCCAGGGCAGATGATCCCTTCGGGACGAGTGCTGAGAGTGGCGATACTGGGAGGGTGGAGTGAGGGTGGGGTGGAAAGGGGGAACCAATTACAAGGATCTACATATAACCTCCTTCCTGGGGGATGGACAACAGAAAAGTGGGTGAAGGGAGACGTTGGACAGTGTAAGATATGAAAAAATAATAATTTATAAATTATCAAGGGTTCATTAGGGAGTGGGGGAGCGGGAAGGGAGGGGGGAATGAGCTGCTATCAAGGAGTCAAGCAGAAAGCAAATGTCTTGAGAATGATGATGGTAACAAATGTACAAATGTGCTAGACACATTGGATGTATGGATTGTGATAAGAATTGTATGAGCCCCCAATAAAATGATTTTTAAAAAGCAAAAAAACACCATTAAAGTCAGGAAATAGTTTACAAGCTTTTTGAACATGTTAGTCTAAGTGATTGTAATGTAGGTTTTAAGTCTTGTTTAAAATGAAATATTAAAGATGGTTTGAAATATTTGAAATATTTAAATTTGAGATGCATGTAGATTAATTTCAAAATTAAAACTCATAATCAGATGCTAATTCTAATTCTTTTTACTGTCATATAAGTGTGAAATTATATTTTTATCTCTAAGGTAACATAATGAACCATGATTCTAAGATTTGAAAAATTGTATACTAATGAACTTAAAATTCCCTTGCGCCTATGTTGGGAGGGCTTTTTTTTTCCCCAAAAAAGCATAACTGAAAGTATAGAGAACCTTTTTAGTCTTTGATTAGCAGCAAAATTAGTGAGCTAGAAACATTATTCATAATACAATAGAGATGTACAAAAGTTGGAAACTCTCCAATTGGGTATTTGGAAACAGGGACAACTTAATTGTTCTGAGGTTGAAAGACAAATTATTGATTACATTTTCCCAACAAAGTGTTCTCCTAAAAATTGGAACTGGGTATGTTGGGTACCTTTGGCAAAAAAAAATTTCCTATTTTAGTGCATGATGGTTGGCACAAGTAGGTGTTAATAAATATTTTTATTTGTTTTAAATGTTAATATGCCCATTTATTATATATCTACTACACAGGCTGCTTCTTTTGAACTTATTGAAAAATGCTGGTTCTTATTTTTCCATTTTGATGCATTAGACACAGCGAGAACTTATTTTTTTCGATAGTGTGAAGCAATTTATGATTTATATCATTTTGGCTCTATATTTATATTTCTAGTACATAAATAATATCTGGCTCTTAGGAAGTACTAAAGGCAATTTATTGCCTATAAATGTTTTTATTCTTTATAATACCTCCGAAATATCAGCTTCTTGAATATAAAACTTAAGCTATAAAATATCGAGGGTTTCTATATATTAGAATTATTCATTAGAAGAGTATTTCTTGAGCTACATGCACTCAAATGGAAGCTAAGAATTTTCTACATGTCATAAGAAATGATGCTAAAAAATATCTTTGTCTGAGTTCTTGTGTGTTTTATCATAAGTGAAAACACATAGTCTTTTCTGTAGTCACGTAGAAACTGCAATGTCCCAAGTTGTGTACTTATTGCACAAGAAAACATTCTTAGTATACAAAACCAGTTATATGTTTGCATGTATTAAGGATTTTCTTCCACTGTAAAGGGAAAGAAATGCTGAAGGTAAACCTAGAGTTGAGACGGAAGCAAGAAGACCAACAATGATAGGGATCTATGAAACAATGACCACTAACTAGTCACAAGTGTGAAAATACTTTTTATTTTCGATTGTACACTGAAATTACAGAAGAAAACAAAAAATTTGCACATTTTGACATGCATGCTTTAATTTAAGTGTCAAAGATTTACTAAATATGAGAGGGCTTCGAAATATCCCTGGGCCAATTCCCTTATCTTTTACTTTCATTTTGTCATACATATTTGAAGCTTCCTCATAGAAAAACAGCAGCAACAACAAAAACCAAAATGAGTTAGATTTTGTCAAATGAGGTTTGCATCTGGAAGAAATAACAGATGCTTTAGGTTTTATTTTGATCCAAACTGAATCTATCTGATCCAACCAAGGCAAATACTCATTGATAATCTCATATTGATATTAGGACAGCTTTTTTAAATGCTGCAAAGATGTAGAAGCATTTGGCATAGTTTCTACTCTTAAGTTTTATGGTTTTATTAGAAAGCCAAGAAACAGTAATAGAATGTCAGTAAGACTATGTATCATCTGCTATATTTTCAAATATGTATAGCAAGTGTGATATTAAGCTATGCTGTAAGACAGATATGTGTTAAGAACAAATGCCATAGAAGTATAAAATGAGAAAAGATTAAATTTGGGAGGAAGGATTTTTAATAGGCTAAGAGTTCAAATAGAAGGAACGGTATAGCAACAGCACTAGCATTAAAGAGATGCAGCAAAAATATGAAGCTGCCCAGTGATGCAAAAGAACTGAGCATATTTGAATGTATAATAGGATAAAAGTCTAAAAAGTAACTTGCCTATAATGGTGTAGGATTTCAAATATCAGAGTCATGGGTGTTAAATGTATTAAATAAACTTTTAACACTAGTAAAAGTCTTTAAACGCTTAAGCCTGGAAATTGCATGATGAAATGTTGGATTTTAAGAAGAAAACTTTCGTGAAACACAGTGACAGAAACTGAGTGCAGCTATGGAGTCCCGTTGAATGGACTGCAACAACCTGTACATTAGCATCAACAAATAGGAAAATAATGTTTTGTGACAGAAATAGAAAGAAGGGATAGCAAATGGTAGATGATATTACAGGTATTGAAATTAAGCCACGGTGATGGGTCAGAGATAAAATACATAAGTACATTAGGAAGAATCCGTTGAATTTTTGCATCCATCTTGGGAGAGAGAGATTGGTGTGATATGTTTTTCCTTTTAATAGATACCAGGGCAATTTCAGCTTCATAAAGTTAATTGAAAACCACCTTACCTCCTCTACTCTCTCGAACAGCATATGAAGAATGGTAGCATTTCTGCCTTGAATGTTTACTATGACTCACCACAGAAGCTATGAATTTAATTTTTCAATAGATGCTGAGCTCTTCTTTCTATTTTTTCTTAAGTGAGCTTTACAGTCCAGGTCTCTTTAAGAGTCATTCATCTCATTGAACAAAATGAGTTTCATGAAATTGTTTATTACATTAGCTAATTATCCTTGTAATGTCTGAGATACGTAGTTATAACCACTCTTTCTTTTCAGATATTGCTAATTTATAGCTCCTGTTTTGAATTATCTATTTGTTTACTTACTAATATCATTTTTTCTAAAATAAATCTGTTGTTTTGTCTTATATTTCTTTTTTGTTCATGCTCTTTCTTTGTTCTTTCCTTCTTATCAATTTAATTTGTTATATTCTATTTTGATACACTAAGGTGGAAACTCATAACAATAAATTAAGACCATTTTATTTTTCTTCATAAAAGAATGTTGTGCTTTACATTTCCATTCAACCCCTGCTCAAGCTATACTTTAAACATTTTTATGTTGTCTTTTATAGTATCTATCATCTCAAAAATATTTTACATTTCTGTTCAATCATTATGAAAATTATTGGGATTTAATCGAGAAGACCTGATTAAATCGTTTTGGAGGTGAAACATGGGGACTCAGAGAGGAGCATTGACTACTCAGATCAGATTTTAAATCCAGATTTTCTGCTTCTTGATATGGTGTGCTTCATGCTCCATGCATCTTCTCGAGATAATTATCAAGCTCTCAGGTGTGAAGACTTCAAAGAAAGTTGATGTCATCAGGAAGGTTTTAGACACAGAAAGAGAAACAGATTGGTGAGCAGTTTATACTGTGATGAGTTGGGGCTATTGATGTGAAAAATGAGACATCTTGCTAAAAGGTGATTCATTGCAACATTCTCAAATCTGCCCTTAGAGATGATTACATCCAGAAGAAAACTCTTTGGTATGTTTTTTTCTTCCACAGGTACTGCTGTTTGAATTGGGCTGAATATTGTTATCTTTATTTTCCACTTCGAGCTTTCCATATTCAGGTGGCAAACGACTGGAGAGGCAGTAGAAGGAGAATCCTTGAGATGGCATTCTGGTCCTGGAGATACAGAGCCGGTGATTAAGTCTCATCAGAGAGTGGCCGAGACCAGTGCAACCCAGTCACTGCCCAGCCTGACAGATTAAATTTCATGCCCCATAGCATTTGGGAGTAGAAGGAGAGCTATTTCCTCATAATGAAGGGGATCTTTTACAGTAAGGATATAAATGCTACTATTTTGGGGGGAGAAATGACATTAGTTCAAAAATGCTAATGCTATTTATCTGTCTGCATTCCAAACCTTGCCTGACATCCTCAACTTCCTCTTAGTCTTGGGCACTTGAAAGTCCATTAACCAACCTGTTGCTTCAATTAAGCATGAAAATCATACAGAAAATTTTGAGAATTACATAAGCTTTGTGGATCTTTTCCTTAGAACTATGTCCATACACATATCCACTTAAAATACAACTTTCTCAAGGGATACACAGATCTCCTAAATTGTGTTCATGTATCTCACAATGAGATGAAGAATTTCTAATATGGAATAGATAGGAGTAATATAACCCAATATTTTCAAAATCAATATTCTATGGAACACGTCTCCACTGGTCATGACCAAAATATCCCAAACTGAAATAAAATTTGGAAAAGTTAGACTAAACAATGTTAAGTAGATGATATTGCTACATTATATTCCAAAGTCCTTCATATAGCAATAACCAGGTATATTTTTTAAATGCTTACTTTCTGCCAGGTACTGTCCTATGTTTTTATCACATCGCTATTCTTACAATCTTAATAATCATCATATGATTAAGTACTATTATTGTTCTCTATTCCACTGACATGAGATTTAAGGAAAAGTGAGATTAAACAATGCCCACATTCACATAGCTTATATATTGAGACGGCCAGGATAAAAATAACTCAGCCCAGATGCTGTGTTACTAAGCACTACAATAAAAACAGGGACAGAACGTACAGGACTGTTAAACTTTTATTTTGTGATTAACTTATTAATATTCCATAGAAGTAGTCTTTTATAGAACATATTGTGGAAAGTAGTGGTAGAATTAATTAGACCGAATAATCCATGCAAAACTTTCACACACATAATTATATAGGTTTAAAATTAATGCATAATATGGAGGCTATTTACAAAAATTAATCATTTATTAGGCAGCTAAAATATCTCAACACACTGGGCATAGAGTATGCATTCTTTATTATTTTATAATAATGCAATGAAACTGATAATTATTTACTGCATTCATTTTAGTTTGATTATAGCTACTGATGCAGACACGGAAAGTTACAGTTCTTAAATAAGATAGAAGTTTATGTCTGTCTCACACACAGTTTGTCACACACTATCACGGTAGACATGGCAGCTCCTTTGCTTCCGAGATCCAGAGTCCTTTCATCCCACAGCTGCCAATCACATCATTGCTTCTCTTTCTCCTTCATTCATGTTTGCAATTTAGACAGGGAGAAGAAACAATCCCTGCTTTTCAGAATAAGAGCTTGCCTCACTTATACCCAGAGCTCTCTGTGAACATCGTTCATGTGAACGTCCAGCTTCAAGTGAGGTTGGTAACTGGTAGTCCTTAGGTGGGTGGCCATGTGCTCAGCTAAGAAACATATTGCTATACAAGAAAAGGAGATCATATATCATGCTGGGGCAGCTATCACTTGCATCTGCCACCCTAAGAGAGAAGAACAGTCTATATTCAGATGAAATTAATATCACAACTTTAATTACATTTTAAATGGTGGGTTGCAAAACTTCAATGCTCAGAAGAAAATTTAATGCTTAACTGATTTTTATATTAAACAAAAAAGAATGAAAATAAATCAATTGATCATCCAAATCAAGAAGCTAGAAATATTTATTTGAAATGTGTATAGGAAAACAGACATATTAATAAAGATAAACTTATAGATTAATAATTTATAAATGAGGAAAAACAGTTGAATGATAAATAAATTTTAAGCACAGGCTCTCTCAAAAGACTATTAAATAGGTAAACTGCACATAGTATAAGTCAATAAAAAAGAAAATAAAAATACTTAACATTATATATTGAAGACTACAACCACAGATATGAAGGAAGATTAAGAATCATAAAAGTATACAAAGCATATACTCTACTATACAAGCCTTTCTGGTATTCTGAACATCTGAAAGGCATTGTACAGTGTACCTGAACGTTAATCATTAACGATCTAGTACATAGACTTTGGCCCTCTATTGCTGTTAAAGCACTCAGCTGCTAACAGAGGTTGGTGAATCAAATTCACCAGCAGCTCTGTGGGCGAAAAATTTGGCAGCCTGTGGCTGAAAAGATTATAGCCTTAGAAACCCAATTGGGGCAATTCTACTCTGTCCTATTGGGTTACAGTATATTGATCCTACTGATGACAAGGAGTTACACTGGTGACTCACAAAAGACACTTACCTATAAGTAAAGAATATATAAATCTGCTAAATGACAAAATCCACTCAAAAAACAGAAAATGTGAATCACCCTAATCAGAAAAGGAAGAGGCCCACAATATTACTAGCATGTTCTCTGCAGCTTATAGGTTACATATTTTATTTCATTTATTTAAGCTTCATAATTCTTTGAGGCTGGATTACTACATATCAACCTTGTGGAAATTGAGATCCCAAAAAGTCATCGGTCCAGTCTCACACCATGAATGCTTAATCTGCCTCACTCAAAAGCTCACGTTCCTTCCACTGTTTTCGTACCGCTATTGTTTCAAAACCTCTTTGTCAATAAATGCATCCAATTTGCTATAGCTGAGCCACTTCGTTTTATCCATTTTATTAATTTAAAAATTGAATTATGTTAGATTTATTTTGAAAAATCAAAAAGCCAAGTTTGATGCTCAGAAGGAGAAACAGATTGAGAGAGCTAGAGAGCAGAAGAGGAGGAGGAGGAGAGAAAGAGGAAGAGGAGGAGGAGGAGGGAGGAGGAAGAGGAAGAGGGAGGAGGGAGGAGGAGGAGGATAGGAAAGGAAGGAAGGGAAAGAGGCTGGGACAGGAAAACTATTGCATCTAAACCTGACAAAACGTACCTATGGCAGACATAAAGACACTTGTATTACAATTAACTTGCTTCTCTCTACTCTAGCTGCTAGGAAGTTCAAAAGTACAGGTCAATTTATCTTTAAAAGTTCTCTAGCTCTTTTATTGTACTAATTTTTTTTCTGTATTCATTTGTTTGATTTTATTTCCTTGTGTATTTATTTCATTCCATTATTTTAAAGTATTTTGTAAGCTATATTAAACTATATGTAATTGTGGTGTGTGTACAAACATAAACTCATTATTTTCCTTAACCAATGCCTAATCATCAAACATTTATGCGCTTTTATCATATTTCTGTGCATTCCTACCCACGTTTGCTAGTTTACTACGACACTAGCAATGTTAGAAATTGCTAACTCACCAGGACTTCATCAGTCACCAGGATGCTGTTATCGCACGTAAGTGCTTAAGAATTAAGAATGATACGACTTCAGCTTAGAAACTAGGCAAAGTCGGAAATGGGACGCAGAAAATGAGGGAACTCATTTAAGAAAACTAATGAACAAATAAAGTTTTGGTTAAAGGGGATATGGCAAACTCAAGCTTAATTTGGTCTGACAATAACATAACAGTGTGAGCTACATAAGGGCAGGGAATTCAATATGGAGGCAGTTCTTGAGGTTAAGCAAATGGTAGCATCAGGATTTGAAGATCTTGCTTTTCAGCTGAAAGCAAAATACACTTAACAGCTGGGACTACAGAACAGAGTCCAGTCCCAACTTGACAATGACTAAATCTTGCAGGTTACCAAGACTGATTTAATAGGCAAACAAAAACCAACAAAAAACCTTTTTACCACTTGTATTTTTGATAAAATGATCGGTTTAGCAAATTTATAAGTCAATCTAAGTAAATCTAAATCTAATGCCACATTAAAAATTGTGTACATTTTTTCCATCTAGCTAATGTGGTATTCATTTTCTAATAATCAACTTTTATCAAGTTTTTATATAATATATATATACACCACATTATGCAAAAAATATATATGTACATATCAGTAATTTGTATTTGGTAAGCATATGTTCTCTCTTATCTGAATGTTGGTATATTGTTTTATACCTTGTACTACATATTAATCCCGTTTTATTTTCTTTTTAATGTATGATCACTTTGTAAGCTATCATTATAACGTTACTTTCACATCCTGGTATAACGGAATAACTTGCAATTAACTAACATTGTTGTTAAGGATAGCAATAAAAGGGATTTGTTAAATGTATATGTTTTAAGGCGTTGGAGGGTTACAGAAACAAATAGGACTAGAGGTTACCAGGTTTTGGAGAGGGAAAAGGTAAGGTTAGTGGCTCATAGGCTGTGATTATAATTTCCCAGACCATTTACCAGTTCAGATTCAGGATAATATCTGAGTAAGCAACAGTTCAGTGGCTTCCCAGGATGAATCAGGGCACTAGAGACTTCTCTGGCTAGCATTCCAGTGAGAGAAAACGGATCCTGATGCATACGAATATTTCTTTATAGGACATTTGCTACATTCTGAAGCTTTACAGATAAGCGCTAAGGAGATAAGTAGAAAGTCTCTGAAAAACACATGGACGTTTTTTGACAATCATGTCATGTTGAGTCGACAAATGTCGCAGTTGAGGGTCTACCAGGAGGAAGAGCTCCAGTGGACAAACTGGGCTCCAGTTCAGAAGAAGGTACGGCTACACGGGGACACACACAAATAAGAAGTAGATGAACTATGGCATTTTCACATAGAACATGCTCACATAAATAACATGTAAATGCATATGAGCTCATAGCATAAATAGGAAACAAACTTGCAAAAAACATATGTGTATGTTTGGATGAAAATTCTGTAACTAAAACTGCAGCCAGTCTAGACTCATCACTTATTAAATAAATCTCTCACTCTATCTGCCTAGCAGGAGGTAAGCTGAATATTATTTTAAGGAAGATAATATCATATGGAACTTAGTATCAAAATCTTTTTAAATTCCAAGCAGTAGACTGTACATTACTACTGTTGTTAGGTGTCATCTCGTAGGTTCCACTATTGTCGACTTCATTTCTACTCAATGTGATTTGATAGGATAGAGTAGGAATGATTGAGACCATGAATCTTTTTTTTTTTTTAAATAGCTACGTTTTTCTAATGGGGAGGATGTAGTGGATTGGAACTGTCAATGAAGGTTATTCTACTTTACTAATATGATGTCCTTCTCTGAGCAGTGATCCTTCCTGATGACAAATCCAGCATACATTCTGACTTCTTAGGAACATTTTGTCTGCATGTTTTCCAAATCAGATTTTTTTTTTCTGACATTCCATGGTATATTCAATATTTTCACAGATACTATAACTCAAATGTATCAATAATTTTTCATTCATCCTTATTTACAGTCCAGAATTTGCATACATATTGGGTAGTTGAAAACACCATAATGTGGGGTGAGTTAGTTAATTGTGTCAACCTGGCCGGTAATCACATGTGGGGCTAATTGAAAGGCAGAGGGATAAATGGGTGGTGAGCCTCGCCTTTCTAGTTCTCAGGTCTCTTGTTTTGTGATGGTCGCACCGGGTGCAGCTGCCTTAGCAGTTCCCTGCTTCAGCTTGCAAGATTGACTTCCTACAAGACATCCCCAAGGAGAAGCTACATGGACCTATTCCGATGCAGCCCTGGGTGCTGGAGCAGCCGTGTGGAGACCCCTGCTAGTGCTGAGATGCTTGTTCGTTCACTGACTCAGCTTTCCTCCTGCAGTTGGCATCATTGCCTCTGTTTTGTGAGGTGGAGGACTTTGTGGACTGGTGTTGGGTTAATGGGTTAATGTTGGCTTGTGGGCTTGGGCAGCATTAGGTTGGGATGTTTTCGTGATGCACATTTTCTTTACATAAAACTCTCTCTTATACATGAGTTGCTGTGGTTTTGTTTCTCCAAAGTACCCAGACTAATACAGTGGGTCAAGGGCATCTTAATCCTCTAAAACTGACATCATTGATCTTTAGCACTTTCAAAAGATCTTTTACAGTAGATTTGCCTACTGCACTAAATCATTTTATTTCTTACTGCTTCTATAGGTGTTGATAGAGTACAATGAAATGCTTGACAACTCCAAAATGCACTCTATTTTCATAATATCATTTTTTGGACTATTTGAGATGATTTTTATTTTATGTTGAGTGTAATCTATATTGAAGGCTGCTCTTTTATTTTTATAAATAAATGATTCCAGTATTCTTTACTTTCAGGAGATAATGTTGTGTTAGCCACATATTGCATGTTGTTCAGGAATCTTCTTCCAATTCTGAAACTGTGTTCTTCTTATAATCCAGCTTCTTCAATTCTTGTTCAGCATACAGATTGAATACTGTGTTAGTCCTGGTTGACTAGAGAAACAAATCCAGAGATACTCACATGTGTATAAGAAAGAGCTTTATGTACAAGAGCAATTGAATTTTGAATAATTATGTCAGCCCAGAGCAGATAAAGTCCATAAGTACAGTATTAGCCCAAATGTCTGCTACCAATCATAAATTCCTCTTCAGACTCACGAAACACATTCAATGACGCTGAATGCAGGATGATCACAGGTCATTGGGTGGGAAGTCTTGTGGATCCAATGGTGGTATAAGTATCTCAATGCTGGCAGGGCTCTTCCAGGTTCAGGGCTCTAGCATAGTTCCATGTGTCTTGTCAGCTGCAGGGACAATGTCTCACTCCCTGCAATGTCTCCCAGGGAATGAGCGTGTGTCTTGCCTCCACTGATCTAGTTATCTCCTTAGTGCCCCCAAATGAGGTCATCAAACTGCTCCTGATTGACAGGCTAAACTCCACCCCATTCCCTTGTAATTCTCAAATTGACATGTTATGTAACTACCACAAATAAGTTTGATGAAAAGATATAACCATGACCCTCACCTTTCCTGATTTTAATCCCCTTACTGCCCCTTTCTTTTGTGTGAATCTCTGCTGATTTCTCTGTCCTGGAATAGTGTCCTAATCCATAAGGAAAACTTGGGTACTTGGACATTATCTTGAATATAAACTAGTAAATCGTCCTGAAAAATAATACTCATAGTCTTTGAGCCACTAATTGTACCTTTTCCTTCTCCAAAATTTTGCAACCTCTAGTCCTATTTGATCTCTTGAATTCTGTTGGTCAATTCTGGAATTCCTATTCTTCGTAATGTGGTTGATAACTTGTATGATTCACCAAATTGAAAGCCTTTGAGTAGTCAACAAAACACAGATCAACATCTTTTTGATATTCTTTACTGTCAGCCAATATTCATCTGACATCAGTAATTTCTCATTCCTTGCCCACTGCTGAATCTGCCTTGAATTTTTGACAGTTCCTTGATATACTGTCATAACCCGTATTGAATTATCTTCAACACATGTAAAGTAAGTGATATTCAGTAATTTTTCATTAATTATTATTTTCAGTCATTTCTGTATCACCTGCTTTTTGGGATGGGAGCAAATATGGATCTCTTTCCGTCAGCTGGCCAGGTCTTTCAAATCTGTTAGCCTAGACAAGTGGGCTTCCACGGTCGCGTCCTTTTACTGAAACACCTCAATGGACGTTCTGTCACTTTCTGGACTCTTTTTTACACCTACGCCTCCAGCAAAGCTTGGTCTTCTTCCCTCAGCGATATCATTTCTTGATCATATGCCACTTCCTGAAATGGCTGGTGTATACATTTGAATAATAACCATAGTAACTGATCATCTTTGTAGATGTGTGGGTATTATCCCATCACTGACAGTGTTGTGCTAGTTTTGTTTTGTTTGGTTTTTGAAACAGTGAATGTGATGCAATTCCTCCTCGATTTATCTCTTCTGGAATAGTGGGCTTGAATGTTATCCTATTAAAAACAGCCATTACCAGTATATTCCAGCTCACTAATGCCTAGTGTATCAACAGTGAAACATTCCATTTAATTTTTAACAATTTCCGATATTCCTAGATATATACTTTGTTTATTCAAATGTTGTTTATTAATGGGTATTTGCGGGTTTTTTTTTAAGTTTGATTCTTGCCTCATCAGCAAGTGAAGATTCCCAAAGAATCATTACATCTTCATCATTACGTTGGCTGTACTTTAAAGAGATAACTCTTCCCCAATCTTATTTTGAATAAATTTAAACCCGAGAGGCTCATTTCGTCATTCAATATCAATGTGTTCCACTGTTACTCATCAGGGTTATCTCCAGGTCCTTCTTCTTCGAGTTCCTTAGTCTGGAAACCCTGCTGAAACCATTCCTACAGGAATGACCTTGCTCATAGTTAAAGTATTGGTAGTTTACGTTTAATCATTACAGCAACACACAAGCCACCACAGTACAATAAACTGCACGATGAGTGGTGGTATAAGGGACTAGATATACAAAGACAAAGAAGATTACATGAATTTTATTAAAAAGGGTGTGAAAACATTTGCAACATTAATAGACCAACAGGAAATTAGCAGCCAAATACTTTTAAGTAAATATAACTAATAGAGCAAAATAAATAAAGAAAATACTGGCTGGAAAACAAGAAATCTTAAGTATTTTATCAGTAAATTTAAATATGTAAAAGTAAATAGATCATTCTAGAACTGTAAAAACATTACAAAACTAAATGCTTACTAATATATCTAATAGCTAACTATAAACATAAAAAGAGGATTATTATGCTGTAAAATAAGTTAAAGGAGCAAAGAGCAAAATAAAAAGTATGGAAGAAAATAGATATATTACAAAATTTAGAATATAGTGAAAAGGACTAATATACATGTATTTGGCTTCCAAAAAAAGAGCAAAAAGAGAATGAGACCAAAATGGTATTTTGAATACATAATAATCACATTTCCAAAAATTATAGAAGCCATCAAGTAGAGTATGCAGGAGTGTATGTATACAACTGAGACATGCCTAGGCACATACTAATAAAACTGCTTATATCCAAAGGGGCGGGGGGAATGATTTAAATAACAGATTCCTTTAAAAGAGTAACAGTTAGATCAAAGTTTCGTTCTTAGAAGAAACAATGAAAATGGAAACAAAATTATATTCCAATTATTAAAATGGAACCCTATTTTTAAAAGGTTCTAAACTTATTCAATAACATTTTTCTGTCAAAAACATCTTGATTAAATTTATTCACAAGGTTACACATAAGTTACTCCTAAAGAGAGGTCGTAGAGCACAAATAAGATTATATTAGATGGATAAAAATAAAAAACTGAATGAGCAATCTTGAGATGTATAAATATAAAGTAATATCAATATTAATTAACAATCATATTAATATCTTATGGGCTTTGCAATACATATAGCATCAAAGTGCATCCATCATAGCACAAAAGGAGGAAGTGAGATAAATTCAGCGAATTTCAAGGTCTGTGCAATATTTGCACAGTGACCAAGTACTCATTTACAGCTACAGATTCATGTTTCATGGTAAGAAATGCACACATAAACACACACATACAAAGGATAAGTAACAGAAAAAATTATGTATATTTGATTATATTTAATTAACAATTAATATAAACTAAAGTCATAACAAATGTAAAACATGCTGTTTATAAAGGAAACACATAAGATGTTTATTAATTCCCAAGTGGTGGCACATTAATTATAAAGATCTTAAATATTACAATCAAATACTAAAAGATTTTAAAAATATATGCTGCATTTTATGGGGATACTTTCGCTATAAGACCATAGAAAGAATATTTGTAAAATTATGGAGAAAGATATACTATGAAAAAATTTCTTTTTAAAGTTGGCAAAAGTGAAAAAGGAACGTAAACTGTTAAATCAAAGTGGGGGAAATTAACTATATCCATAGCTGACACAGCTGAAAAGAAGAAATTGTAAGAGCTGATATGTAAGTAATACTATTAACAAACTTGAATGATGTAAATCAAACTGTGCAACCAAGTATGAAAGTATATACATCCTCTTCAAATGCACGAGCGTCAATCATAACACATTTCAAACAATTGAGTAATACAGAGTATATGTTCAGACCATAAATGAATACAAGCATAAAATAATAATGAAATAACTAACTAGAAAATTCACAGATTTTTGAAAATTGAGAAATATACTTTTCAATAATTCACAATTGAGAAAAATGTTCTGTAAATTGAGAATATTATTAACAAGATGCAACATATCAAAACTTTTGTGATTTGGTTAAAACAGTGTTGCTTAGACATATATGTATAATCTTACATTCTTGTACTAGTGTAAAGGACTTAGAATCAAAATCCAAGTTTCACTTTCAAGATGCTAGTAAAATGAACAGTTCAACAGACATATACACATATGTAGGAAGAGTGAAACAATAAAGACAAGAACTGGAATTAAATACAAAGCAGAAACACAATAGAAGAAATCCAACAAAGTACACAATTTTTAAGTAATAGAATTGCTACACCTCTCCCCTCGCTAAAGGATGATCAAGTTAAACTAGAGAAAACTAGCTTACCAATATCAAGAATGAAATAGACATCAAGACAGGTTCTATTGATATAAGAGAAGTAAAAGAATATTTTGAATGACTTTAGACACAAAGGTTTGCCAACTTAGATGAAATACATGAATCCCTTAAAAAACAGAAATTACTAAGTCAAAATAATAAACAGAACATTGAATAATTCTGTATCTATTTTTAAAATTGAGCCAACTGCTCAAAATTTCTACATAATAGCTGTATTGTCAAGTTGGCTTCAGCAGTAAATGCCTTCAAATATTTAGAAATAAATAACACCAACCATACACAAAATCTTTCAGAAGATTAAAAATATAAAATAATTCCCACTTGTTTTAAGATGTGAACACAATTTGGACAGCAAAATGTGACAATAATATGATACTTACTGCCATCGAGTCCAATGCTACAGTGAGTGAGTCCATGGGGCAAGGAGAAACTGCCTGCTGTGTGCGTTTCCTGGAATGTAACTTTTTATTGGACTAATATTATCAGACTGATAATCTGTAGAGATCAGTCATGACCATAGATAGAAAGATCCTTTAAAAGAATTAACTAGCCTAATAATAAAAGTAATAGAAGAAAATGAGTCAGTTTTATTCCTTGAAATGTATGAGTTTTTTTAAGTAAAACATCAATCAATATAGCTGACTTTAGTAGTAAAAGCACATAAGATTATATACAAAGAATAAAATTCATATCATTCATGGGGAAATACGAGTAAATTGGGAATGTATGAATAATTCTTTAACCTGATATACAAACATCAAAATTAATGGCAAATTGATAACATTTTTCTTGAGGCATTAAGAAGAGAACCAGTGCGTCCGTTGTTAAAACTTTATTCACTATCCATAACAGAGGTTCCAGTCAGTTAAAAAATGCAATAAAAATGTATATGGGTATTATAGAAATAACCAAAGCTGTTATCATTATAAACTGTATGAATTTAACATATATGTTCAAAAATTATATATAGATAAATTATTAAAGTTACAAGTAAATTTAGTAAGGTCACTGAATACAAAGTCAATATGTATAAAATGTCCTTCTCACCAAATTGGTCTGTAGATACAGCATTGCCCATCAAGTGTCCAGTGTTTTGTTTTCTTTTGCTTCCTAGTGAACATCGATAAGTTGTGTCTGAAAAGCTGATAGAAGTGAAAATGTTAGGAGTAGTCCAATCCTGTAGAAGAACAAAGCTGAGGAACTTCTATTACAAATTATCATCCCATATTGACACACTGTAAAAATAAAGGTCATGTGGACACACATGCAAAAAATAACACAAGAATACAGAACAGAACACTTTTAAATGTCTCCTCTATTACAGGCCAACGATGGCACTACAGTGCAGGGGGAAATAAGTAATACTGGATCCCTTAAATATCTATATGACATATAATAATTATTAGAACTAGTTTTTAATCTTTTTATTGGAGGCTCGTACAGCTCTTATCAGTGAACGTAACAGTTGGCAGCCCAAAGGGTAACCACTACGCCACCAGAGCTCCTCTGTTACGACGATTGTAATTCATAGCCTGCTGCCAAACAAGGCTGAACACTCGTTTTCATTTCATTATTTTTCATAAAAATGAAAATCTTGTTGGGAAACTAGGATGGTAACATATGTACAAATGTGCTTGATACGATTGATGTATGGATTGTTAGAAGAGCTGTAAAAGGCCCCAATAAAATGATTTATTAAAATAAAAAATAAAATAAATGCAAATCCTCTTCCAATTTCTTTTGGCTAGTGAAAATGTAAGTATTTCATAAAAGTGATGTGGCATAAACTGATTTTATAAAAAGTTGAGGATACCAGTAGTACTAATTAGGATTTAAATGGGTCTAGCTTAAGAAAATTATTGGATATCACTTATTAAACTTTGGAAAAACTAAAGCTGAATATATGATTGTGTCAAACCAAGCAAAAAAACTCACTCCCATCAAGTGACTTTCTAGGACAGGGTAGAATTGACCTTTTGAGCTTCCAAGGCTATTTCAGGGAGCAAAAAGCCTAAGCTTTCTCCAGTGGAGCTGCTGATGGGCCGGAACTGATGAATTCCTGGCAAGCAGTCCAAAGGATAACCCACTCTCCATCAGGACTCCCTATCCCGCCATTTCTCATCCAGGTATAAACCTAAGAGATTTAAGGACATGTTCACACAAAAACTTGGACCTCAATGCTCATACCCCCAAACCCAACCCCATCTCACGGTACCAGTTGAGTCATATGGGCCTCACAAGCTAGAGAAGACATTTTCGAGGGTCTTCGACGCGAGACAGTTTTACAGATACGGACTGTCCATCGTTCTTCTGTGGAGCAGCCAATGCGTTCAAGTCTCTGGTCTTTCATTTAGCAACCTAATGCTTTATAAAAGCATTATTTTTGATATCTAAATAGTGGTAATTACCCAGATGTCCATCAGCTGATGAATAAGCTCAAACTCACTACCATCGAGTTCATTCCACCTCCTAGCTGATTAATAACAAATGAACAAATGCAGTATATTTTTATAATGGAGTTAAGCCATAAAAGGGAATAAAATGTGAAAATATTAGACTGTGAAAAAATACAATCACAAACGACCAACTATTGTATGATTCTGTTTAAATGAAATGCCCATGATACAAGCCACAGAGGTAGAATTAACTTAATGGTTTCCACAGGTTGGAGGGAAGAGGAAACAGGAAGTAACTGCTAATTGTATGGTTTCATTTGGGGAAAATGAAAATGTTTGGGGAAAAGTGGCAGTTCTTGAACAATCCTGTGAGTATCCTAAATACCACTGAACTATAGATTTTAAATGAGCGGATTTTAAGACAGAAAGATAAAAATAATCTGCATGCAAATATTTATAGTAATTCTGTTCAGAATTGCAACAACTTGAAGCAAATATGTTGTCTGATAGTAAGTAAAGGATTAAATTGTGGTACATTCATACAATGGAATACTATTGAGGGATAAAAAAGATTGAACTATGAAGCCATGAAAAAACACTTAGGGACCATAAACAAATATTACTAATTTTAAAAAACGAGTTTGAAAAAGCTACATACTTTATTCTTTCATTTATGTAATTTTCTGGAAAAAGTAAACTATAGAGTTGCTGGAGCAACAGAGGGACTGTTTGGATAGAGGCAGAAAAGGAGATCTTCTCGGGCATTGAGAGTTTCTGTATGACACAGCAATAGTGGACACATGAAAGACATGCGTGCGTCTATTCACGCGCAAAAGGTGCTCGAATAACAGGAGTGTTGAGTTCATTACATTCGTCAAGATGTATGTTTAATTTCGTCATGTTAGCACATTATAGGTGAATCAAAGTTTAATTAAGTACTGCAAGCAATGTATACTTACAGTAAATATTCACCAAGTATTTTTAAAATGTGGTTTCCAATAAACTTTAAATATTGAATTCTTATACAATTACTGTGTATTATGTGAATTAAATTGATGTGACATAATTGCTAACTAGTTATCATTATAGAACTCATTCATAATTTCTTGTTCTATGTTCCATGAATATATGTTTTATAAATCTTCCTTAACATGCTTTATGTTGCATGATTTTACACCTGACCATGTTCCACTGCTATCCACAATGTTTCCAAGGGCTCATTCTTCTGTTCTGGACAGCCTGTTCCTTATTTGCAGACTCTTCTGCATCTGGAAGCTCTGCTGAGAAAGCTTCACTTCAGGTGACCCTGCTGGTATTTGAAATACCGGTAATCTATCTTCCAGCACCATATCAACACCCAAGCTAATACTGTATGACAAACTGACAGACAAGTGTGAAAAAGCCAGTATGTTAGATTGAGCGCTAAGGTGCACCTGACCCAAGCCATGGTTTTTCAAGTGCCTCATACACATCTGAAAGTTGGACATTGAATAAGAAAGAATGAAAAAAAACAATGCATTTGAATTAAGGTATTGACAGAGAATATTGAAAGTACCGTGGACTACCAAAAGAACCAAGAAATCTGATTTGGAAGGATGTCTAGAATGCTCCTTAGAAGCAAGGAGGGTAAACTTCATCTCATATATTTTGGATATGCTATCAGGAGAGATCAGTCTCGTGCTTACTAAAGTAGAGGGACAGTGAAAAAGCGGAAGTTCCTAGACAAGATGGATTAACACAGCGGCTGCAACAGTGGGTCCAACCATAAGCACAGCTGTGAGGGCGACACAGGACCAGGCAGTGTTGCATTCTGTTATACACATAGGGTCACGATGAGTTGGAACAAACTTGACGGCACCTTAATAACAGCATAGTTTCTATTTCTAATTTTATTTAATATGCTGAGGGTTTTTATTACTAGTTGATTTGCAAATAAATTTCATATTCAACTGGCTAGTCCTTTATCACTCTTCACAAGATTAAATTATGGTCTCATATTTTAGTTCTTACATGAATTTTATCTATGGCATTTCAATAATTATTGACCCTAACTAAAGAAAGTTATTAATCCTTTAAAGTTCATACAAGCTTTGATCATATTAGGTTGGTATTTTAGAAATAAAACACTGATATGAAGAGTGATATGGAAAATATTGTAGAAATGTCAAGTATGGAGGCAAAAGTTAATATGGAGGGCAAGCTGAAGGCTGCAGAAATAAGCAAGTGGAAATGGACGTGACACATATTGATGAGCTATAATCAGTGAACGATTAAATGTGGAGAGTATGAAAGAGTGGCAGTAATGGGAATAAGTTTACCTTTGAATACTTGGTAGATGGTAGTATTAATAAATCTAGATCTTAAATGGAAGAAGAGAGGGAGTTTGGGGGCTTTATGATGACAGCCATAGCTTAATGGTTTGGCTCTAAAGTGCTTGTGAGATACTCCAGGGGAAAGCTGACCCAGAATCAAAAGAAAGAATAAGGCTACAGATAAAGATTGAACAGTCATCAGCTTGCGTGAATAGGAGAAGCCATTGACATAGGTTTATTAAAATAAGAGACGTTTATTGAAATAAGAGAAGAGGCAAGAATTAAATCTTAATCAAAAAGTTGGGTGGTGTAGCAACTGGCTAGTAGCCTTAGGATTAAGGTAACTCTCTCC